TTAATCCGAAGATGGCGTTAATCCGAACTTAAGCCTCGGTCCCGTTGGCTTCGGATTAACGAGGTTGACTATGTATTTTGTTACCCAAATATGTTGAATATTCCATAATACGCTATTAGCATACTTTCTCTTGAAAATTCTGGTCTGGTAGTCGATGTTTGTTAAATACAGACAAAGTGATACGTCCTTAGTCATGAATAGTCACGTTTTATTCTTTATTAGTTAGTTGTGTTATGTTAAAGGATTGATTGGGTACGTTCATAATAAGTACAATTGTATTTTTGGCGGCAGCGTTGATCGAGTTAAATTCTTAGTCTCCAGTAAGGATGCGCGATATCATTTTATTGGTTGGTTTCTCGTTTGTTTTTTTCTTTGCTGCATTAGGATACGGCGATGCGATGACTATTGTGTGTCTTAGTGGGGGCTTGTCACTTTGCATTCACATTGTTGCGTTGATTGTAATTTATGTGTGCTTATTAATAGTGCAGGCATCCGGTATAAAATTACCAAGGAACCGGGACTTTCTACAACCATTCGTTCTAGCATGCGAAAAAAAACAGAGATACGGCACACTGTGATAGATACCTGTAAGCGCGCAGCTGCTGTAATTGAATTTCATCTCTAAAAGCATTGAAATGAATGTCAATTTAATTAACGTAGTATAATATATGCTAACCTAACCAAATAAAGTATACACTACACTAATCGTAAATCGCAATTACATCATGTGACTTAAATTTTGTGTTACAGATAAGATCGTGCGATTAGAATTTTGATACATCATCGACATCGTAGCTCAACTCTTTGCTTCAAGCTTCCTAAACTTGCTATGCTTTCAACAGCAACAAAAAAAATATATCGCTCGCAACTAACTGACAAATTCGTAAAGAAATCCGTGATTGGACACAGAAGTTTCCTAATAAAAAACACCTAATCCCCATTGCTGATTTCTTCAACGATCAATATTCAACTCTTAATCTTGACAGGTCCACAATTTCGAAAGTGCTTAAAGACAAGGATCGGTGGGGTGGCAAACTGTTGTTAGCAATAAATAGTGCGTGACCCATGTTAATACAGATATCAATTAAGATTTGAGTTTTGCTGCAAAGTGAGACTTTAGTTGGTGTTTTACAGGCACAACTAAGACGGGAATGTAATTAATCTATATTCGAAGGGCACATATGACGTAGTCACACCTCCATACAATAACGGTTTTTGGGGGCTTGCTTAGTATGGTAGTGTCTTAGTAAAATTGCCTGCCTTTAAAGGAAAATCAACAATGACGCTAAGTTGTGGAACCCTACTTTTCAAATTAGGTAATTATCTTTCTATTTCATCAATCAGTACGTTAGAAACTTGTTCATATACTATCATAGAGCGAAAAGGATATTTCGACAAGCACAACGCTCATTGCTATAAGAGCCCTACCCATAGTAAACATGCAAAATCTAGTTAACATTTCACTCGTATTTTTCGTTCTCGTAAGTGGAATAATGGTTCAAAGCAATTGAGATGAGAATGTTATTTCTGTCTAGTTTCGTCAAGTCACTACTATTATTGTGTTTAGATAAACTTGGTAAGTGCTCTGATGAGGGGCAACGTTTCGCTTGAAAGCTATCAGTCATGGTAAGAATGAATATATGTACATAAACGTAATATCTAGTCCCGTTATACGTGCTGTTACTTAAATGTGTCCAACTTAATATCAAGGTACACATGCTTTCCAACACCCATTAGTATCTTCAGTGAGTATAGCTCTAATATTTGAAAATTCAGTCTTATATGTATTTATCTCGAACTCAATCGCTCTTTTCTTACTTTTGGTAAATTTCAGACTATGTCGTCTCGACATCTGCAAACCCACTTATCGAAACGCCGAATTTTGGCTCCAAATTGAAAGGGTATTGGCTCCCTGGTACTGGTAATTCTTTTTGCTTCCAGGGTATCATAACCATGATTCTGTCTTCTAATGAGCTTCCAAAAGCACTGAATGGGACAGCATACCACCTTGAGCGTGAATTATCATGGTTAGTGAATGAACAATCATATTCTATTATGACATAGAGTTTTACACTACATAGCATTTCCTCAATTAATAAAGTCATGCTCTATTACTAATTATTCTTTCCACCCCTCCCAATATACAAGTCAGGATCAGTGTCAAAATATCTGTATCAAAAATACATCTGTTATTGATACTTCAATCACCTGGTGTCTTGTAGTAAGCAATCCAAAATTTTTTAATGACTCTGTTGAGATCTTTATTGATAATGAATCTGCAAGTACTATTACTACAACAATCACATCCTCAGTACTAGTAACACCAACAATAACACCAACAGGGACATCAATTGGAACTTCCACTAATAGTTCTCAGATGACAAACTCAACCTCTGGGAATGATAAATATGAATGGAATTGGAGAGTGATTTTTTGCTTTGAATTAGGGTGTGTGAACGGCGATTTTGTAAAACGGCGATTTGATCATGTGATCGCTGCGGTACTGAGATAGAGTGATGATCATTT